ACTATAATGGAGTTTAATGCCTACATATAATTCACGATCTGTCAAATTAACGGTAATATTTATAAGTCTATTTTTAAAATACTTGCCTTATTAATTCTTTTGTTTATTTATACTAAAATTCCATTAAAATGTATTGAATCATTAACGGTATTACTTAAGACTCATTTTTAAATGTCATCATTTGTATACAAAGCATTAAGATAAAATTAGAGACAGAATAAGCAATATGGATACAATGATCAATCAACGAATTCGAAAAATAACTCACAGAGGTTTCGGATAAATCTATGATTGCTGCGATATCTTAGAAATCTATTATTCACACATTATTAGCAGTTTTTTTAAAGCTTTAAGAAATTAAAAATTGTTTGTTTAAAAAACTTGGCAACCATCGGTACCAACCTTAAATACAATTGAAGAGATCAGGAGCTATAAAAAAGGTAATGTATAAAAAATTGTTGTTATATATAAATCAAACTAAAAATGTTATAAAAAAACTTTTATTGACCAATATAGGTAATTTATGATTATTTAGAACATTCAAAATATAGATTTCAAAACGTTTAAATTTAATGAATAATTAAAAAGCTGTTTGTTTATCACTTACAAAACGAGTGGCGATGAGACACTATACAATTGTGTAACAAGTGAAGGACTTTCAAATATTAGGTATTCAATTAATATTTCTACCTAACATTGCACAAAAATGAAAAAAAGTCAGATTTAAAATTGGCAACACCATTACTCGATTTTTACTATATTATGATAATTATTATTGTAAAATAGATATCTATTAATTAAAGGATAGAATTGTATTTTATTAATTAGTATTATTAATATTTTTTTAGTATTTTTATTTACATTTTTTAAACTATAATTTACTTAATTTCGAATCTATAAATTCTGTAGTGGATCAGAAAATAACGCCAACTAGTATATTTATTGCTTCTAAATATTTTTTTAAATAAGATACATTTAAAAAAATCATTGCATTACAGTCGAATGTATTTACTATAGTATACATTAATCTAAACGTAATTATACTCTTCTAGTCTCGTACATTGGTACGATCTATACGAGCAGGTAGGGTAGATAATTTTATTCAAATTTACATAATATCATGGTCCATGGTCCATGGACAATATTACTTCTATTGTGGCTGAATTTTGATATTTATGGCCATAGCCGTATTTCAGTTATTTTTACTTACCATTGTTGTCATTATATATTGTATTGTAATCGTATTGTCAAACAACGTCTACATACATCTGTATTATGTATGTTTATAACTTGTGTGCGACATAACGAGAAAAATGAAGCTAAACTAGACGAAAATCTCATTTCTATTGTTATGGTTATTTTGAGAGCTGTTTATAAGTATAAAAAAATATTACAATAGAATACAAAATAAATATTAAATAATCGTATATAATATTTGTATGTGAATGAAAATAAAATAGTTTTTATTTTTTGTTATTATTGTAAGGGACTTAAAAAACAGTTTATCATCGCATTAGATTTTTAGTTTAACAATACACGCACAGACAATAATGTATTATCGTACATCGAAATGTCCATTCTATAGTCCATAAAGTTTTTACCCCTTGTCTCCGCGGTATGTATTCACTATTCGATGCTCATTAATTAACCAACAATATAAGTACTCACCTATAATATATATAAAAATAAACATACATCAAGCTCGTTTTTTTGTATGATAATTACTTATACGTATACATGTAGAATAAAGTCAGTTAATTAAGATTTAATTGACGTGCAGGTGCGTTAATGATTTTATATCTTACGCGGACCTTGATGTCGTTTTTAAATATTTATTATAAACATCATAATAATATCTAATATATATATATATATATATTATACATATTGTAAGCATACAATATAGTTATTCTGTAATAACTGGTCCATAGAAGCGTTAAATGGTTACAGATTAGGCAAAGCCATGTAGAACAACTACAACAACGACTTTGACTTTAAATAGTTGTACATTAATATAATAATTTACCTATACCTAATAACTATTTGAAAGTTGAAATATTATAGTGAAAATAATACTCTCAACGTATAATTAGTAATTCCACCTACTTATAAATACATTGATCTTTAGTCTTTAAACACTACGAAATACGAATTAAAATTGCCAGACAATAGGTACCTATAGTAACTAATAATAGTAATTATAATTAGTTATTAAATTATACTTGATTAAAGTAATATCTACATTTATTTTTTAGGCGTTTTTTGTCATCATTAATCTATATAAATTTAATTCACAATTATGTCCGTAAAATTATATATGTAAACTACTAAATTTTATTTAAATAACAATCAGATGCATTTGTATTTTATAATGTACGATATATATATATATATACAATTAACTATTATATTGGTTATTACTTATTATATAATATTATACACTGAAATTATTGATGATTAATTATTGTGTCACGGGTTCATGAGTCTCAGCCCTCGGAATCGTATCAATGTGCACACTGTACAAATATATTATTTTTCCTGTACAATAAACAATGATATCCGGCCAATATATACAATATACATAAATAATAATATATTTTATAACGCTATAATAGTAATTATTATTTTAATACGTCACTACCAATTATACATATGTTGGTTTATTCGTATGACCCTTTGTTTTTCTGGGATGGGTTTTACCTTACTTCCTTTTCATATGTATAAGCTATTTCCCTACGTCATATGCAATACGTCATGAATACCTATTAAAATCATTTAGAATGCAGGAAGTTCATTGTTGACGTAATGCATTTTCAACGTCACTGTTAAAATGTTGCACTATTTGAATTAGAGTAGAAAATCGTATATAGGAATGATTTCTTGATTAAAATAAATTAATCTTTATTAAATTTAGTGAAAATAAATCGCTCAATGAATAAAAAAAAAAAAAAAATTATTGGAATATATAGAAATAATAAAAAATAATATAAACATTATTGGAATATATTAAAATTAAAAAAAAACAAGTACAAAAATTCTTTCTTTGCTAAGCATAATCAGCACTATTTAGATGTTACATTAGTGTTTACGTATTATACTTTTATAAAACATGCGAATAAATATTTATTTTTGTATGCTAATACCCTACCAATTGAAACTGTAACATGAATGAAAAAACATCAAATTAACTGAACCTGAATAATATTGCCAAAACTAATTTTATTGTTGGAACATTGCCAATAGAAATAAATAAATAAATTACATCTTTTCTTTTCTTGTTTTTTTTTATTTTGCAAACGAAATCAATACAATCGCACATCGTCTTCCAAACACTTCAAGGGTTGTTGCCCTTTCGTCTTTGGCCTATAAACTTATGAACGAATTCGAAACAAAAAACTTAAAGGTAAATTTAATATTGAAAATTATTATATCGTTCAATAATATTAAATATTTTATATTATGTTTGAAACAACGAATTGTGTGGATATATGTTGGATAAAATCATGGTGAGATACTGAGATATTTATTTATTTAATACAATTTGAACAGTACCAAAATGATTTAAACATTTTTATTTTATTTTTAAAATTTAGGTTTATAAAAATAAAATATTTATTAGATATTAAATTTTTTGATAAAGAAATTGAGTTTAATTTATGAACTATAATTAAAAAGGTATATGCAATTATATTTTTAATTATCTACCTAGTTCATACCTATCACATTTTTACACTTTAGACTTTAAAGTAATAATTTATATGTATTAACTATAATTAAAAGGATAATTAGGTATATTTAGTAAGCATGTAATTATTATATTTTTGTAGCCTATATTTTAGTTTATTATGGAATATAGTTTATTGGTATGAATAAATAATTGAATGGTGTAACTGTAAATAACGGAATTTGTTCTAAATAAAATAAATTATTTCAAAACAATTAATTCTAAATGTATAACATTCTACTACCTACTCAAATCATGCCCGTTCTAGCTTTTTAAAAACACTGTTAATAAATTATGATAGGTTTCTTATTATCATAATTTTTTTTTTTTAAGTTAGAAGGGAGAATAAATTGTTAATAGTCACGCTTTATTCAAGTAAAATTATATAGAAACGCGTGTTTCACAAAACTTTTGTATAAGTTTTTATTTTTTAAACTTATCAACTTAGATTTAAGTATAACAAAAAAATAAGTTGATCATCTTAACAACACTCGTACGGCTGTACATTATATACCTATAATATTGGCAATTACTTATAAAGTATAACTAATAAGTATATATATACTTATTTAATTTATTGAATATCATGGTAAAATATAAAAATAAATCCTTCATCTAAATGTTGTATTAAATTTAGTATAATATAAACACAGAACATAATTACTGAATGTTGAACATTTATGTAAATATGAATATAAAGTGTACAATATAAAAGTTTTAATTTGTGAGGCCATAATGCTTAGCACGCTTTTCACGGCCATAACAACCTTGAAAACAAAATCTAATCAATTGTTCATATTTTCAACATAAATAATAACAATTTGAATTTATTTAAGTATTAAAGTAATTTGAATGATCAATACGATTAAAAATTATATAATAGCTAGTATGTATGACATAATTAAAGCTTATGTTTTGAATAAAATTATGAACACTATTGTTAAAAATTTTAAAATTATTTGGTTCTAAAGTTTTTTTATGTGGTTTTTAAAATTAATATGCATGCGTTCTAAACAGCATATTTTAAAATGAAAATAATTTTCCCAAAGTCTACTAATGTTTATTTATATAATTTTTAACAATTTATCTTTTTATTGACTTATATTCAAGATAAATACCCATTTAAACTGTATATATAAAAAAAAAATTATCTATAATAACATAGAAAATTATAATTGTTACATTTAAAGGCGAAAAATACAATATATGTATTCATTTTGTGACAAAATATAATAATACATAAATAATTTAGTAACTTAAATGTAGTTTTACTTACCTAAGACTAGAAGTACGAAGTCGAGAATCAATATCCATTGCTTTTGACTGAACATTTTGATAATTTATTGAAGTATTTGAAAACTTCAAATTTAGTTAAATTTATTATTGTGAAAACGTATTAAAAGAAGTCCTAAAAATTATTTTTAATATAGAAATTGTATTTTACAATTTAAATTTTAGCACCACGTGATAGCGTGAATTGAATCTAAAATGCACCAAACCGCTAGTCTGACAACAATTCGATTCAATGGTTCCCCAGAGAATGGCACACGCGATGATGTTACGTTACTACTTACTATACTGGAGTAATACCATACCGACAACCAATCGCGACGCGAGTAACGTCATTATACAACATCATATTTAAGTATTTGACTAAACGTAATATGCGTTTCGTTATCATGGTTTGTATTTATTGTATCATTTTTTTTCAGCAAACATGTGTTTCTATCAAGTATGACAATTATTATTATGAACATGACGTATAACTGTTAATTATGAATAATAGCTAGCAATAAAAAATAATAACAATTAATTAATATATAACTAAGTTTATAATAAGATTAAAGACTCTAATAATTTAATAACTGTTTATTTTTATAGTAAACATTGACATTATATTTAATTGCATATTTTTTGGTATAATTGTTTGAACAAAATAATTTTGTCAAAAGAAAAAAAAATCTTTTCGGGTATCTTCTATTGCTTAAAAAGAAAAAAATTGTCTATTTACATCTCCCATATGATAATTGTCATGGCAACAAAAAAATAAATTTTAATTGTTTTAATTAAATACTTACAACTTTCTATTATTTAAAAAAAGTTATATATATTTTACCTTCCACTTATTTATTATATTTTAAATATTAAGTATTAAATTTCGGTATGTCCGAATTGCTTTCTAGTTTTATTTTAATTTTTTAATACCGTTTTAGTATTATCTATTATCAACATTTTTATTTATTCAAAATACAGGTTATATAATATTATATTATATAAAGTCATTATAAATCACTTATCTATTAGTATTAATATTAAAGTATAATACTAAATAAAAATAAATAATAATAGTAATAACAAAGTAAAAATTTAAAACAAATATTTTTCATAATTAATCTAGAAATTTCAGTTTATTGAAATTTACCATTTCTCCTTAAATTTTAATTTTTTGAGACTGCTTTTGTAACATAGTTAAATATATGTTTCAGATTGAACTTCTTTCAAAATAGGTATGAACAAAATTTAAAATATTTTTGAATTTTGTAAAATTTAAGTCACATTTGTAATTTACAATTTTTTGAAAATATTGGGAATCAGTTCAGATGTCAATTTTTAAGTATGGAAACCAATTAGGATGCAGTCTTAAGTTTCAAGATTCTAAGAAGGCGAAAATTTCTGGGGGTCGATATGGGTCGAATAGGGATCTCTACCTTTCTCCTAGGGGAATGGTGAACGAAGTGAACGGGGAATAGATCCTGAGCTAATTAATTATAAAAAAAAAAAACTATTATTCATTATATTATTACTTTAGTTTTAGTAGATAGGTATGCATTTGAAATTTAAAAACTAATATTTAAAAATAAAATTATATAAGTATATATTTCCTAAAATTGAAAATGTATGTTATATATTAATATTCATATAATAAATGAAATATATGAATTATAACATGTATTATACTAAAAAATAAAAATGTATTATTTTTGAATTGAAATATAATCTTAATATGGATAGTTAGAGTTTAAATTACTAAAATTTAATGGAATAATAAGGTGTTTGCAAACATGAAATTTTTCACTGTTCAAATTTAAATGTGTTAATTGAATGCGATAAATTATTATTGTTTTAAAATATGAAATCAGAACACATCACATTATCCTGTGTTGAGGTAAGCGAAGCGAGATGTATGACTTACACACTGTATCCTGTCTACAGTTTATTTTACATTTTTATTTATTTACTATATAGTTTACTGTGTGCATTTACGATTGATTAATCACTTTATAGAATGAATCTGGAAATTATTTTCTTTATTAAATTATCCTTATAATTACAGTACCTAAACTGTAGAGTAAATATTCGTACAACTATAATATGATATATACGTAGTATAGATAACACATACATTAGCATTACATATTATACATGATTAATCTTTGAAAATTTTAATTTCTAGTTTGGTAATAAACTTTACGTATACTAGTTGGTATACTGCAATGACGAATCGGACTAAAATAATATAGGATTTGAAAAATTTTCATTTAAAAGTGTGTTTAATTTAAAAAAATGGATCAATCAAATTAAATGAATTATATAATAATATCATATATGAATAATAAAGATAAGAGCTATAGATCAATTATTATTCAAAATAATTTTACATTATTTCAAATTCACTATTATTATATTAATGTACTTTAAAGCTAATAAGTAATAACTATAAGGCTTTAAATAAATTCAATTTTACAAAAATCACTAATTATTATCAAAACAAATTGAATGAATTATAAAGTTCAACAATGAAAAATTTTATTTTTTTAAAGGTAATAGAATTGGTGATTTGATTTATTCTGTCTTACAGGTTTATTAACCGCAAGAACTATTTATTACATGTGCATATCGATGCCTGGTAGATAGGTACACAAGTAATGTAAGTGTTTTATTTTATTTTATCAATATAAACTATTTACTATTTCAAAGGCTTCAATGAAATAAAATAAATAAAAATATTTCACGTCTTAAATAGGTTGAATACAATAGTCAATAGGTAATTATATTTAACTATTATGATGTTAGTTGTATTTATATCAACTTAGTATTGTAAAAGTTATGATAAACACCATGAAAGTCGCTCTACCTAATAGTACTTTTCAAGTGTAGGTCATCGAAAAAATTGCTGTGATGAATGTGTTCAATTGATACATTTTTACGAAAAATAGTTTTTAACGGAAACTGCGTATCAGCTTCTAAGGATAATTTATAATTTATTCATATTACTATGACTAATTTTTGATAAAAATATAATATCATATATTATATAAACATTTTTATTATACTAGATCATACATTATATAATTAATAATTTGTAAAGTTAAAAGTCCATATACTATAACGTACCTTAGAATGGTGTGAATAGGATCGTAATATAAATAGCTTAAAATTAGTCTAAATATTTTTTAAATTTAATTAAACTAATAGTGGAGTATTTAAAATTTCTACGGTTAATATGTTTTAATAATAAAATAAAAATAATAAAAACCGTTATTAAGCACTTATATGTTGTATTCAAAATTGAAAATCAATAAATTCATTCACGCAGAATCTAGTATCGATTTTTTTTCTATAAAATTTTAGTCATTATTTATTTGACTAAAATTTAAAAATTATAAATTATAAAAATGTGAATTATTCTAATACTACTTTAATTATTGATTTCAACGGTTGTCTATAACACGGCCATGAATTATGAAATATTTAGACAAATATTAAGTTTCTTTTAAGCATTTAATGTTCTAAGATTTGTTTAGTTTTCTTTTTCCGTAAAAATTTATAAAAAAACTTTCCATGATCAAAAAGCTTAAACATTTAATTTAATGTGCATCGTAATAAAATAACCTAAATTTTTATTGTATTCTTCACAATTTATTTAAAAAAAATAATATAAAGCTTATTTAATTTTTATCTATTTATACCATCACGAGTCTATTCACACCGTTCTATGGTATGTTGGACGTTGGTATTGATTTATAAATTAGTCAATACTGGTATCAACTTAATTAAATATAACTAGTGATATTGTAATAATTACTATACCTGTATGAGATTCATTTTTGGCAAACAATAGTTTAACCTATTACTAGAATACATCAGATCCTAAAATTGTGTGTACTACGACACACCTTGTGTAGTACAAAAAATGAAATGTGTACTACAAAATTCAAAAATGTATGGCAAATAATGTTTTTATTTTCTATATTATTACTATTCATTTTACATCACTTGTTATAAACGTTTAATTAGAATATAGTGTGCAGTACGAAAAATAGAAAATTTTAGGCCCTGGAATACATAATAATAGTCATATAAACATACGTATAATAAAATATCCTTAAAAATATAAGCTTGCAAGCTAATAGATAATCTCCACTTAAAACTCAGAATGATTTTTCATACAGAATTATTTATTGTTAAATTTGAATTTAACAAATTCATACATAGACTTATTCAATGAAAATGTTCATTTGATACCTATTTGAAACTCCAAAGTTACTTGGCTAGTTTTTCAAATTTATCCTTTTTTTTTTACTCTTGGAATTACATTTTAACAAAAAAAAATTTTAAATAAACCGCGACATCTAGAACATAAATATAGAGTTAAAAATTCACGAGTTTGACACAAGATACATTTCTATTTTTATGATAGGCATTTGAGAAAAAACAATTAAAATGTTACTATAAGTTAAGGTATTAATTAGAATTTTGGGAAATACCATTAAGTATATTATAACAATAATAAATAATTTACAAGATAGTCCACCTTCGTTTTTTTAAATTATTTTTTTAATAATCCAAAAGTACTTTATAATTAAAGTATAATGAGTATTATTATTTATAATTTTAACATAGGTGGTTAAGTATAACTAAATATATTATGCAATAATTACTAATATAATTATATTTTATAAAAAAATTAATTAATTAAATCATTATACACACATACTATATCTTTCATTAAATCATTTTTTTTTATAAATTTTGAAAAAATATATATGATTGCTTTATATTTGAAATTATTTCACTTTCACTGTACCTTTATCAAGTAGTGGATGATTTTTCTTGAAATATGATTATGTTTAGTAAATCACTCTGTATAGTTAGTATTAATTGATCGATAATAATTTTTAAATTCGAAGTCATATGTTATGAATGTTATGATAGTACTATACATAATACATATACACACAATTATATTTAGTTAGATGTCTTAAAGTTAGTGCCTACAACTGACATACATCACAATCATCACGAACAATATTGTATTATTTTAAATTATGCATAATTAACATGTTAATAACATTTTAGACGATGTATTTCAAGTTCCAGTTATTCTAATTACTAAGTTATTAATATGCGTTGGGGCAAAAGTATGCTCAAAATTCAGGAATATTCATGGGTTGATATAATATTTTGTGATTTCTGTTTCTTTTGTTATTCTTGGAAGGTGTCACGGTAGAGTCTTTTCAGTTTTTAAAGAGGAGACAAAAATCTTGACTAGCACTCTTAACTATCTTAACTAAAAAAAAACCATACAT